TTTCTAAAAACGCTCACTTAATTTAGGCTAGCAAAAAAAGTGAGCTATTGCGTATATAAATATGCTATAGTAGATATATATATATATATACACACACATATATATATGCATATAAACATAGATACATATATATACATATAAACATAGATACATATATATACATATATATATATATATATATATATATATATATATATATATATATATATATATATATATATATATATATATATATATATATATATATATATATATATATATATATATATATATATATATATATATATATATATATATATATACATACATACATACATTCATATGTCAACTTTTATTTAACAAAAATTTATTTTATCCTATATATTAAGTGACATGATTTTTAATCAAATAAAACATTTTTTTAAAACTATTTAAACACTTGAGAAAAATAGAGAAATTATATGATTAAATGATTTTTTGAGTTTATCTAGTTTTTATTATATTTTTTTTTATATTGGTCTAGTTTTTACTATATTTTATCTATACTATTTTATTTGTTTTTTTTATACTATTTAAAAAAAAAGTTTAATTACTTTCTCTTTTTAAGTCTAATTTGAGTTCAGCTCAAAAAAAAAAATTATTATATATATTTAATATTGTATATATATATATATATATATATATATATATATATATATATATATATATATATATATATATATATATATATATATATATATATATATATATATATATATATATATATATATATATATATATATATATATATATATATATATATATATATATATATATATATATACATACATACATACATACACACATATATATATTTTAATTGTTTGATAGACTGCCTGCCCAAACCAAACCTTCAGTTAATGTAGCAGCACTCTGTTTCAAGTTAGGCTATTTGTCAGTCAATGTAGCAGCAGTTAAATAATATAATAATTATATATGTAACTTATATATGTAACTACATCTGAATTTTTTTTTTAATAATGCATTATTTTAAACAGATGTATTTACATATCTGATTTTTTTTAATGTAACTTCGTCCGGAAATTTATTTTATTTAATAATGCATTACTTTAGGTGGATGCAGTTACATATCAAGAAAAACTCCCGGATGTAGTTACATCTTTCTAAAGGTGTTATTAGACATCAATGAAATTTCAGATGTTGGACAGATGTTAATTCAGCAAAGAAAAAAACAGATGATCTTGGATAAAAATGTGCAGATGTTATTTCCGTACTTCACGAATGTTGTTGGACAAATCTAGTAATCTTTTCCCAATAAATCAGCATAATTTGTATGCTTGATTCATTTCATTTGACGGTCAACATGTTCCCATAGATGATCAATGGGATTTAAGTCAGGCAATTGAGATAATCACTTCAAACCATTAACTTTACTCTTTTTAAAAACTCTAAAACCGATTTAACTGTATGTTTGGGATCGTTAACCTGTTGGTAAATTCACCCTTAAAGCATTTTATCCTTTGCATAAGATAACATATTAGTCTTACATATATCTTTGTAGTTTTCTTGGTTCATAGTCTCAGTAATTCTATGGAAAGGACCAACTCCATTCCGGCTAAAACATCCCCAAACCATTTCATTACCTCCTTTATGTTTTACGGTAGGCAGTTGATATTTAGGATTGTATCTTGTAACTACTGGATGTCAAACATACCTGATTCCATCTGATCCAAACAGTATAAACTTGTTTTCATCACTAAAAAGAATTTTTGACCATTGTTAATTACTCCACTTTAGATACTCTGATGCAAATATTTTTGGGGTGTAACGGCTTTTCAAGAAAATTAATGGTTTTTTAGCTGGGCATCTTTGAAATAAATTTGTGTATGTAAACAATAATTTATAGTAGTAATACTAAAACAGCAGACTTACCAACACATATATATATATATATATATATATATATATATATATATATATATATATATATATATATATATATATATATATATATATATATATATATATATACATATATATACATATATATATTTATATACATATATATATATATATATATATATATATATATATATATATATATGTATATATATATTTATATACATATATATATATATATACATATATATATATATATATATATATTTATATATATATATATATATATATATATATATATATATATATATATATATATATATATATATATATATATATATATATATATATATATATATATATATATATATATATGTGTTGGTAAGTCTGCTGTTTTAGTATTACTACTATAAATTATTGTTTACATACACAAATTTATTTCAAAGATGCCCAGCTAAAACCATTAATATATATATTATATATATATTATATATATGTATATATATTATATATATATATATATATATATATATATATATATATATATATATATATATATATATATATATATATATATATATATATATATATATGTAAAACATTGAAAGTTGTAATAAAGAAACACAGATTAAAGATTGACTTCTAATAATAAACATAAGATGTAACTAAGAAAATGAAAGTTGTAATTAAGAAATATAAAATGTAATTGAAAACATGACAATTGTAGTTAAGGTTATATTTTAACTATGTATTAAAGTTTCTGAATTGTTATGTTTCTCAATTACATATTTTAAATTTGATTACAACTTTTATGTTTTCAATTATCTCTTGAAAAGGTATAGTATATAATATTTTTCATGTTCTGGGGTTTCATATCTAATTTGGTCTATACTACTCTATATTACTTATTAGTACTCTAATCAAGTAAATGCGATTGTTAAAAAAAATATATTAAGTTAGTTTATTTAAAACTAAAACAATAATACTAAAAACTAGAAAAAATTATTTTCTTTTAAATATCATAATATAAAAAATCATATAAAAATATCAAAAGTATTTATTTTATTATAGAATTATATTAAAGAACTATTAAAGAACTCATAAATCATTCATAAGATGCAAACCTGAACACTTTGTGTTCATGCATGGTAGGCTCTGTTTGGCTTCTTGTTGGGAATTAAACTGTGCATTTAAAATGCTGTATTTATAACCATATCCACATGTTTCACTACATTCACTCCATGTGCTCCACTCTCCTACATAAAACATTTAAAACATATTTCATTAAAAAAATTATATCAATTTTTCAAATATCATTTCAAACATATTTCATTAAAAAAATTATATCAATTTTTCAAATATCATTTAAAACATATTTCATTAAAAAAAATTATATAAATTTTTCAAAATTAAAAAAAAATAAAATAAAATAAAAAAGCATAAACAAAAAATATTTGTGTATAAGTTTTACTAAAATTTAAAGTTAAAATTTAAACTATTAGTTAATCAAAATTCAAAAAATTAAACTAAAAACTAGACAATATAAAAGATAGATACAATTACGTCCAAACAGATCAAATTGTTCTAACTTATTAGAGATACTTATTACTTATAAATGCAAAATAGGCAACACACTTAATGATTATTTGCTGCCTATGTGTTTTCAGAATCACCCACCCTATCATTTAACAGGAATAAATCTTATATGCTCTTCATACATATCAATCATGTGTAATTCAATCATTATCTTAGAGAATGACTACAATATCACTTAATGTAAATGCTGCACAGCTCAATAAAAGCTTGCTAAGGTAGGCACTGACAATTTGGCAGATGAAGCAGATAAAACTACATTTACAATGTGCTTTTGGACATTGTTTGAGATGGTCGTTATTTGACAATATAGGAATGTCAACAATATTGTTATTTGCAATGTAACTAAGTTTTGTTGAAGGGACAAATACAGTAAAGGAATACGACTTTAGTGAATGAAAAGCCAAGAAAAAAAGAGTTTTGGTTGATCCATCTAGAGATAATAGCTTGTTTGAGCAGCAGCCATGACAGTACTTGTAGCAAAAAGAAAGATATGCAATTTTATGATTCAAGAGTGGTTTAAGTTTGGCAGATAAAACTTGTCCAACTAAATTTACAATGTACTTTTGAAACTTATCTAAAAATGAGAGGATTGTTATTAATCAATATAAGAATGTTAACAATATTGATAGTTGCTTGCAGTAAATAACTGAGTTTTGGTAAAATCCACAAGTCACTGCAAGCCTCAGTTAAATTTCAACTTCATTCATTTTCTAACACCAGTTGTTTAAATATATTCTAAAGATTTTTGTTATTACCAGGTAATGATCATCTATTGCTTTGTATTAAGTTGTAATGGTTATCTATTGCTTTGTATTAAGTTGTAATGGTTATCTATTGCTTTGTATTAAGTTGTAATGGTTATCTATTGCATTGTATTAAGTTGTAATGGTTATCTATTGCTTTGTATTAAGTTGTAATGGTTATCAATTGCTTTGTATTAAGTTGTAATGGTTATCTATTGCTTTGTATTAAGTTGTAATGGTTATCTATTGCTTTGTATTAAGTTGTAATGGTTATCTATTGCTTTGTATTAAGTTGTAATGGTTATCTATTGCTTTGTATTAAGTTGTAATGGTTATCTATTGCTTTGTATTAAGTTGTAATGGTTATCTATTGCTTTGTATTAAGTTATAATGGTTATCTATTGCTTTGAATTTGTAGTTTACTTGGAATCAAGAACTCAGTTTTTTTTGGCATTTAATTTAATACAATTTAAATCACTGTGAATATTGCACATTTTTATAAGTATTTTAAGAGCAGTAATGAGTTAGTTAGAGCTCAAAAGTATAACTTAGATATGCTACCATACCTATAAAGTTACCATAAATGTGCCAATAATGCCTTGATTTAAATGGTTTCAGTATAGATATTATGGAGGTGAAGTTAAAGAATCATTCCTTGTATTGAAAAATGTTTAAATACTTTAATTATTTTATAAAGATTTTATGTCGACGTAGCACAGCGAGCATTGTGTAGCTCCTATTTTGAGATGCAGCTGACACGCTTGGGGTTCATCTATTTATTAGTCATATATATTTTTTTTAATTTCAGGAGTTTCATGTTTTTCATCTATTGATGTTAATTCAGAGTTATTTTTTTATGTATTAAAATTTCATAGAATAATTCCATCAATATAGCAGGCCTTGTTATAAATGGTACATATAGCAGGCCTTGTTATGAGATTTTGTAGCGTAACAGAAGAGTAATTCAAGTTAATTTAACTTTATTTAGTATATAAATTATTAAAAGTTGAATTACGTCAGTGTCTTATTTTAAAATTATGCATTGTAATTAAATTTAATTTGAAATCACATAAAAAACTATTTAAAGTCTAAATATCTTAAAATTAAACAAATTTGTTATAAAAAAAATAATTATTAAAACTTAAATAAATTGTTTAAAAAAATATGTATTTCTTTATTTTAAAAAATTTATATTTTTTATTCCAAAAACATATTATATTATATTAGATATTTAGATTAAATATTAAAAATAATTAATAACTTATGTTTAAATATGCGCACATAAATAAAAAAAAATTAGTTTTACTGATGTACAACTAATATTTTATTATTTGTACAACACATAACATACTAACTAAATACAGTGTTGTGTAATTTATGAAAAATCTATTTACAGTTTGATTATTTGATGACAAGGTTACATATTTCAATTTATTTCTTAAAAACATGGAAATTCAGAAATATCTGAAAAAAAGATAATCCCTGTAAATGAAAACCATAAGAGAAAATAAAATGAAATTTTATTTGGAACCTATATACACATCATGTAAAGTAACCCTTATGGATTTCATAGCCCTTGGACAACTCCAACAGGAATATCTGAAAAGAACATACCTATGTCTGTTTTGGACCTTCTATGGGATCAATACTTAATTGTTTAAGGATATCTCATATAGTGCTTTAAAAAAACTAGAAACTTGATAAAAATAAAATTGACTTAACATAAATGTTTACATAACACAGTAATGTCTGCAAATTATGGACTAAATATAAGCCTTTTAAAAAAAAAAAACTTATAAAAATAGATTTAAAAAATAAAATATATCAAGTTTTACCTTCATAACAATAATAGCTTCCAATGCTGTTGACACAAACTTTGTTTGTTGCGTAGCAAACATCAATCAAACTATCACATTCATTAATATCTAAAAAACGAATAACTCATCACAATTTAATGTTAAAATAAATATTCATAACTTTTAATTACAAAACCATGGGGAAAAAAACAATTTTTGGACAATGGGAAAAATAAACTTAGGAAAATTACTTTTGCTAAACTTTTGTGAGTGTTTTTTTCACACAAAATTTTAGCAAAATCACTATATTTACTTCTAAATAAACACACCTTAAGCTTTATATCAATTTTAAACAAAATATTTTACATTTTATAATGCCATTTGTCAGGTAACGTGTTAAACATACATATTTTTTTATATCCCGGTAGAAGTCCTCTCTATATTGCTTTTGAAAATATTTTTATATAATCCTTGAATTTGTTTACTGTAAAAAACTTAATTTAAAAAAAGAGTTTTCAATATTAGCAGTTGCCCAACAAAAACCATAAACAAGGAAAAGTACAATAAACTACAAAACTATATATTTTATATTTGGAACTTTAAGCTTTAAATGCTCTTCTTTTTGATATCTATACATTTAAGAATGTTCAACCTCTGTTTTGAAAATAAATTACGAAAATAAGATGAAAGAAAATAAATAATGTAAATAAAAGTAAAAGCTTGTAAAAAAAATTCAAAACAGAAATTATTCAAAAATATCATTTAACAATTTAACAGATTGTACAGTGGAAAGAAAAGAGCCAAAACATTGACAAGGAAACAGTAAAATAAGCCGAAAAATACAATTTGCAACATTAAAAAAATAACCATCACAATAGTATTTCTCTATATAATACTGCTGAATAATTTGGTTTTTGAGTCAAAAACGTTTTTTGAGTCAAAAACGTTTAAAAAGCAGGGGAAAAAAAGCAAAATAATGCTGTTAAAAAAAAATAAAAAACTGTAAAAAAAAAAGCTAGTGTAGGGGTTGAGTGCTAGCCTAGTGCAGGTCTTGTAATGAGTTTTTGTTGCATATCAGTAAGTAATGCAAGGAATTGTAACTATACACAATATCCACATTTAGATTGTTAAATGAGATGCTTGGGATGATCTCATTATAGATCAAGCTCAGTTATGATCAATCAAAACTGCGCCAATTAGAAGTTAGTATTTCTATGAGAGAGAAATGGAATGCTGAAAAGATTTAAAATGGAACAACATTGTGGTGTGATGTAAACATCATGGCAAAAGAAGTTGCTATAGAATGCGATGGCATAATAATTGAGGATGCAGCCTGGCTTCGAAGTATTAAGGATTTAACAAATATTAATACTGCTGAATTAGATGCTGTACTGCATGGTATACCATTCTTTTTCCCATATTTTCATACTGATGCAACAGTTCCATCAACAATTATATTACTTCTTGTTGGCAATATTCAAATTTCTTCAGATGTTCTTTCAATTCTTATTTGCTTGGGGAATCATCATTAATCAATTAAAGTAGTTTATACCTTGTTTTTGTCAATAGTGTTTTGGTAAATATTTTCTTTTGCTTTAGAGTTGCTATAATCATATCAGCATCTTGATTTAAATTAAATGTTTCTAAAGATTTTTCTTTTTTTTGTATTTGGAACTTTTAAAAACTTTTTAAAGTACTTCTTTTTGATATCTACACATTTAAGTACAACTTCTGTCTTGAAATTAAATAAAAATTCAAAGTAAAAAATATTGGAAAGTCATATACAATACAACAGATTGTAAATTCTGCTATTACTTCTTCTGACCTCAGTGTTGATTGGTACTATCCTATGATTCCCAAAGACTCCAATAGTCACATGCTTGACTTAGGGGTATACATACGCATCAATTTACCTATTTGTCATAAAATCAGGATAAAATCTTTAGACCATTATTTATTGTGCTTCTACTTAACACCTCTTCACTCTATCACCTTTCTCTTTGTTTTTTATTGTTCTCCTTCTTCCCAAAACTGCACTTTTTTAGATATAATTTCTGATCAAATTGACCATGCTCTCTTTTTTTACCCCTCTAGCAATATTGTTGTTATTGATGACTTTAATTTCATCACACTGAATGACTTGGCTCTAATGCCACTAAATCTGCTGGCACTAAAGCTTACAACTTCTGCATTTCTCAATGTCTTATTCAGATAGTTAACTTTGTGACTCATTTTCCTGACAACCCAAATCATTTACTTTCACTATTTGATTTTTGTCTGGTGTCTGATCTTATGACTGAAAGATTTTATTGTGCATTAGATGGAGGCAAAGAGGCTAGAGTTATTGCTCTTGACATATCTAAGGCTTTTGACAAAGTTTGGCATGTTGATCTTCTAAATAAGCTAGCTTCGTATGGTATTAAATTGTTTATTTCTAACCGCTGTGTTAAAGTCATCCTCGAAGGCCAACACTCTTCTTTATTTCCAGTAACTTCTGAGGTACCTCAAGGTTCTATCCTTGGTCCTATTTAGTTTCTTATCTATATTAATGATCTTCCCAACAACCTTACATCTAAAGTAGCTCTTTTTGCTTACATCTAAAGTACCTCACATCTAAAGTAGCTCACAACAGGAGTATAAAGTTGATGACTCAACTTTATATTCCCGTTGTGACAAAAAGTTTTATTTTTTTGATCGCTTAGAACAAGCAGCCGACCTTGAATCTGACCTCACTTCTGTAACAGATTGGGGATCACAGTGGCTTGTAAACTTTACCTCCAACAAAACTCAGTTATTTACTGCAAACAACTATTGTAGTACTGTTGACATTTCTATATTAATGAATGGCATATTGCTGTTGCCATATTTCTGCTGGTTCTTCTAATGATGCTTTTTCTCTTCTAGAAAAATTCCAAAAATGCATGGTAAACATAGTTGGACCCAGTTTATTTGGTAAGCTTGACCCTCTTTCCCATCGTCATAAAGTTGCATACCTTTGTCTTTCCTACAAATACTACCATGGTCACTACTCAAAGAAGCTATCATCTCTAGTTCCATCAACTAAAACTCATTCTTGCTTGACTTGTCATTCATCAAAGTCTCATTTATTTACTGTATCTGTCCCTGTGTGCTCTAAAAACTTTTATTTATCAAGTTTTTTCCCATGCACTTTAACTCTTTGGAACTCATACAACCTTCAACTTTTTAAGCCTTATATCAACCATTTCGTTGCTCTATAACTCTAATCTTTTTTTCTAGTAACTCCCAACTTAATAGTGGTTGCTTGCAGCCTTTTCCGAAGTAAATTGGAATATAAAAAAAAAAAAAAAACTGTATACCTATGACCCACTTACAGTAAATTTTAGAATGCAATAGCGTGGCATTGTTTATTTGCTATATTTTTGCTAACATTTGCAAACTTTAGTTAGTCTAGTGAACCTGCTCTTGTATTTAAAAACATAGTTGAAGTAGAAAATGATGAAATTTGTCAACCAGTTATAAAAAATCGCTCAGTCTCAGCGACCTTTTATATTTGTGACTACAGTAGTAATACCGCTGGTAATATGTTTTATGATAATAGTGAAATTGAAATGGATGATATTGGGCTTAAGGAAGTCATTAGTGTAAATGTTAATAGACAACTTAAAAATATTTGTTGCTGAAATGAAAGAAATATAACTAGGTAAGTTAAAATTAATTTTCGTCAAAATGCAAGAAGTGCTGCTTGGCGAGCAAAAATTAATTTAAACCCTAATGTAAGAAATGCTGCACAACAAGGAAGAATGCATTGCTTAGCAAGAAGTAAAACTATTCCAGATAATATTTTTTTAGGAGAAATGAACCCGATCTGTCAACATTGTGGGGCTAAAAGATTTCCTGATGAAAGCATTTTCTATGTTGCCATAATGGAAAGGTAGTTTTACCTCTCTCTTCAACATTTCCGCAAGCTTTACAAGATTTAATTACAGGGAACTATATAGATTTATTATATAAATTATTTCTAATATAAACTTTTTAAAACATATTAGAAACTATAATGCCTGTCTTTCTTTTTTGATTCATTTACATGCCAAAATAATGTCAACTGTATAGCAATGACCCACTTCCAGAAGTGAACTTTAGATTGCAACAACACAGCAATGATCTTTGCTTATGTGATTTATTGTTTCATTTACAAACTATAGTTTGTAAATGAAACAATAAGTAGAAGATAAAGAAATTCCCCAACCAGGTCGCTCAGTCATAGTTGTAAAAATATCTTTACTTAAAAGGCAAGATAGACATTGCTATAATCTCTCTTCACATAATAAAGTTGCAGTTGTATTTGTTGGTGAAGATTGTGCTCCACCTGCTTCCAGGGAAGTTGTTATCTACCAAAAAGATCATCCTCTTAATATTATATCAAGTATATCTGCCATCTTAGATCCTATGGTTGATGCTGATGCTTTTTGTGATGCTGGTTGAATGGTTTATGCTGATGCTATGATAATGCTGGTTGGCGTAATCAATTGGTTCACAATTCTGAGTGTGCTACATTGGTTAGAAATCATGTTACACTCAGTATTACAACTATAGGTTTTCAGTTAAACAACATTTTTCTTCAATCTTTTATGGCAAGAAACTGTTTTAGCAATATGCTGTTCATGCATGCATTTCAAAATTGAATGGTTATTTCAATTCAAATTGATAATTTCTAATGAAAGAAAGGCTGTCATCGGAAATAACAAAATAAATTGAGTCCGAAAGCCATAAATAAAGGTTTTAAATCTGTTACAGCTGCATGAATTGATATAGCAGCAACTCTTCTTACAAATGGATCTACACTACATAGCTTAATCAAACTTCATGTCCCAATATTGGATGACAGCACATATAATGTAACTCCTAACTTTAAACAGGAATATTTTTTAAGACAAGTTATTTTGTTTTTGCAGTTATATAGAAATATAAGTTAAAAATAAAATGTAGAAAAAACAATGAGTTATTGTTACTGTTGTTTTTTGTTTGCTGTTATAACTGATTTTAAGTAGTTATCAGTGTTATAATCCATAGCCATCATAGTGTAGACCTAGGCTGTTAAACTAACCAAGCAAGTGACTTGCAATATGTGTAGAGCTAGACTGTTATACTAGCTGGCTATATTTTTAACTAAAAATCTATTTTATCAAGAAAAAAGAAAGTAAAATAGCGTAAAGCAAGATTGCCAACTTTGCAATTCAAGCAGCGTACTTAACAGACAGAATTTATATAAAACACATGTCTGTTAATATTTAGTGTAATTCGGTTCTACAAATATTTTATCCTATATGGTATTGCTCTGCATAATTGTTGTGATAATTTTGTCGTAATTTTTTATGTTGATAGACAGCTTAGCTTACCTTACTGTTGATGTCTATCGTTAAAAATGATTACAGGTAGTTTGATTACTCTACCTAACTGCTTTTAATCACTCACTAAAAGCCAAGAAAACATTTAATATTACTATAGTACAATTGTTTAAATCTCATATTTTTTTTTTGTTTTAAAAAATTTTGCTCTTTAAATGAGATTATTTAAATGAGATAGTTGGGATGAGATGAGATATTTTTCATTAACAAAATTGGTTTTAAAATTGATCCCTGTTGCCAAAATGTTCTTAAAATATAGTAATTTAAAAAAAAATCTGTTTTCCATTTTGTTTAAAATCTTTTTAAATATTTTTATTTATTACCTAGTTTACTTTTTTTATAACTTCCTACAACTATGGAATTACATTACTTTTAAATACATGTTTAATGGTCAATCCTTTTAGTGATAAATATTTTTAATTATTTTAATATAGCTTTCTTTATGATAGACTGTGCTTGATTGCTCAGTCCTGTAAATGATGGCTGTTATAACTGATTTTGAAAAATGCCTTTAACGTTAATTGTTTTTTTAAGAAAAATGTTGTGTTTTAAATAGATTTTGTTATAACTCAAACTACTTTTGAGTTTCCCTTTAACCCTCACTAATACTTTCATATAAAAACAACTCATTAACCTGTTAGCTCTAACATTTGCTGTCGAATGTTCGAACTAATGGGTTAAACCATTTTATTTCTTCTCATGGTTTATATTTTTCTGATAACTTGAACTTTAGAACAAAAATATAAAAAAAACAACTCAATAAAGCCCTTACATTGCAATGTAAACGATAACAATGTAATGATAACAATGTAAATGATAACACTTTGATAGTTTAGCTTATAGTATAAGTTATACTAACGTGCGTTGCAATATTATAATAAAATTTGTTGTGTTTACATTTTATTATGGCTACTATTGCTGTAATGAGAAAAATGAACACAAAGTCAATTAAAGAAAAGTACGCTGCATTAGGGGAAATTAAAGAAGTATTGTCAAAGTCTCAGGTTGCTATGAAATATGGCCTTCTAAAAAATACACTGTCAACATGGATCAAAAAAAAAAAGGAAAAATTTTCGATAAAATTTTTGATAACTCAAATTGTTTTTACTTATCCACAATAGTTTGTGTAATAGAATGTCCTAATAACTCGAACAGTTGCTAATTTGAACTATTTTCTAGGTCCCTTGGAGATTCAAGATATCAAGAGTTCACTGTATTTCTGTTACATATTTAAACATATATTATGTAAATAAAATTTATTTTGAAGATATATAAGCTTAAGACTTGCTTTTTTTACGGATTTTTCAAAAAGTGAACATAAGTTTAAATAAATATTTTTGACATTTGTTTTATTACCATTTTAGCTCATCATCTATTATACAAATTTTGATGAAAAGATGAAATTGATACAAAAATTGATGAAAAGTTTCAAAAAAATAATAACTTTAATGCAATATGTTAATACCAAATAATGTTAAGACCAATGCAATGTTGAGACCAACGCAATGTTAAGACCAATGCAATGTTAAGACCAACGAAATGTTGAGACAAACACAATGTTAAGACCAACGCAATGTTAAGACCAACGCAATGTTAAGACCAACGCAATGTTGAGACCAACACAATGAGACCAAAACAATGTTAAGACCAACACAATGTTAAGACCAACACAATGTTAAGACCAACGCAATGTTAAGACCAATGCAATGTTAAGACCAACGCAAGACAATTCAGAACAATTTTCTCTAAATATTTTCTGAATTAGTATTATTTGACTCGTGAATGCTGAAATAAATATGTTGGCATACATAAACTTCAAAGTAGATTGATCTTTTTATAGTAATTTTTCTTTCTTTAATTTCTGCTAAATCATTACAAAAAAAAAAAAAAAAAAGCTTAAGTAATAAACTTTGATATTATTTGAGTCAAAAAATTCGATATTTAATTTAATATATCCACTTTGTTATGCTTTGCACATATGACACTCGAACATCAAAAAATACCTCTAATGAAGCTAAGATCATTATTTTTTGGAACCTATTGAAAACAAATAAAGAATAAATGTAAGGTGTGAATCAGAGTTACAGGCTTGGACAGCTATAAAGTATTATTCATTAACTTAAAGTCAAGTTAAAAAATTTTTTTTGTTGCTATTTACATAAATCTATTGGAATAAAATAAGATTAACTATAAAAATGGTAGGTGCAAAACATAAAACTTGTTTGTTTATTGTGCACAACTAAAAATAAATTTTTGTTTATGTTGATTATTTAATAATTGGTTTAATATTTATTTAATTAAAAAAAAAAAGATTTTTAAACCAAATGCTTGCAGTAGGAAGTAAAATTAGCAAAATAAAAAATATTTGTTTAAAATTAGCGAAGTTACAAAGACAATATTGACTTTTTTTAATACAACACACCTTTTAAAACTTACAACCAACTTCTTCTAAAAAAAAACAAAATGTTTTTAGAGTTACATACATTTTACATTTAATTTTCTCCAATTAGAATTAAATGTGATTTTAACACCCCCCTCACTAAGTTAGGGGACTGAAACTTTATGTGGTCATCACTTTAAAACACCACAATATTTGTTGATAAAATTGAATTTAGGGAACAAATCACGATTTAACTTAAAATTAAATCAAAAGCGCAAAATTTTTTTTTTTCAAATGTTATACTGCTCACATAGGGTTAATAAATGTATAGAAATTTTGGGGTATTTTGTTCCCTTTTTTAAACTCTAAATTTATTCTATGTATATGTTGATCATTTTATTTGAACTGAAAAGTTGTTACATGAAAAGTCTAACAGAAAGGGTTAACATATTTGACACACTATTTTACAGGTCTTTTTTTGCTAGTAAGTATATAACATATGATAATTATTTTAAACAAATATTGATGCAACTTTCCTGTTTTTATTTTGCTGTATTTTGTATAATTAATACAATTAAAATTTAACTACCTTATAAACTTAATTACCTGGCAATGCTGATAATGTGGTCCTAGTCACTATTATTATTTTTTTTAATTATTCATCTCCCCAAGGCCCGAGGGGGCCACTACAGTCGAGGAGAATACTCTTTTTATTTATTATTATTTTTGTTTTGTTTTGTTGTAAATCGTGGTACAACCCTCTCTCAACTCTTTAACTCCGAAACACGAACCTTGACAAACAAGGCCGCTGCGCGGAGAAATTAAGTTGAGCGCGGTACTTCCACGGACGTGGTGGGAGTCGAACTCCAAACCTCTTGCTTACAAAGCGAGCGCTCTTATCACTACACCACTACTGCATTTATTATTCATAAAAATACTATTCATAAAAATAAAAGGCAAAAATAAAATTTGAAAAACATTACAAACAACTGACCAACACAGCTGTTGCTTTCCGATTTCCATCCAGACTTGCAAATACAATTGTAACTTCCATTAGTGTTCACACAATAACTGCTAGTCAAGCTACAATATTCATTCAACTCAGCGCATTCATCGACATCTGAAAACAATTACAAAGTTATAAACAAAAATACTTATTTCTGAGTATGTCATTTAAGACAGCAACATATATTAGGGCAGAACAAAAAATTTCATCTTGACATTTTTAAGTTACATTTTATCTCAAATTGGTTATCATTCGTAACAAAGTTACACTTTATTACTTATAAATAAACTTTTAAAAAAACACAAATGTTTTTTTAACATTATCATATTACTGTTTATTGTGTCTTATTTTATTATCGTGTCCAAGAATTTTAAAAAAAAAATCACCAGATAATTGTTTTTAGACTAGTTTACTTTTATATAAAAAAGTAAAGTGTGTCATTTATCTAGTTTATGTTTTAGAAACAGGCAATATTTAAGTATTTTAAATTTTTAGGAAATATTTTTAAAGTTTTTTTATTGTCTCAAAACCTATTTAATAAAATTATTGCCAAATCAAATCAGTCTGTATACTATTCATCAACCAGCCTGCCGTCGTTTTCATTTTGCCATCAGCTAAAATTACTGGTATATCATAATAATAAAGCAAACAAGTAATAACTTTTTACAAGATTCTATTTCACGCAATGTTTGTACTTTAATATTTAATATTAAACTAGTTGACTTATTTATTTGTTAATTGGTTGTTATTGAGTAGATACAGAAAAATACGTTCAACTTTAAATTGAGATTTCTTTAAAACCATAAATGCTTTTTATTTAAAGTTTTTCTACTTTAAATGTGTTTATATCAACTAGGGTTTTAACTTAATTTTAAAAGGCTCGATAGCTGTTTGGCAAGAGATCGAACTTTATAGCAGGTTGATGCCATCATTTCGTAGATTTTTTCTTTTTTCACTTTATTGGTGGCATTAATCCACTTTTTAGGAAGTTCTTTTTACTTCTTGTTACTCCACCTGTTTCACGAAGAACTCATTTAACTATAGCCCAAAAATCTTCAATGTTGTGCTCTTCAGGGCAATTTGGAGAATTCACATCTTTAGGAACAATTTTTACATTATTATCTTTACACTACTGTAGAATTATGAGAAGAAAAAAAATCTGGCCAAATAAGACATCAGTTTTTATGTTTTTTCATAAATAACAAAAGCCATTTTTGAAGGCATTCTTTTATGTAGAGATCGGCAGTCAAGGTCTTTTTAATGACAAAACAAGATATCTGCATACCATAGCTACAAATTGCTTGCCACACAAGGAACTTGGATGAAAATTATTCTTGTTGAATATATTTATTTTAAAGTCTATAAATTAAGCAAGATCAGACACAGGATATTTTTACGTTTTTACTGTGAAAACTACATGATAACGGCATTGTGAAAAATCCAAATATAAATATGTTCATATAAATAGTTTGCTAAAAATTTGTGGTATTGGAACTTAGGAACAATAATACCCAAAAATGTTAGAGACCATGTCTCAAATATTAATTTAATATGTTAATAAATCTTTTAAATATATTATCTCATACTATACCTAAATTCATGGACAGATTTTAATTTTAACCTAATCATTTTTAGTGCTCAAAAGTAATTGTAAATCAAAAGTAATCAAAAGTAAAAATAAAATTCGATAAAAACCATGTAAAATTTACAACCCCCTCATTTAGAGGTGGCTCTAAAAAAATAAAAGAGTATTGAGTTTCTTGATGGATTTAGTATTAGGTAGTAAATTTAAGTATTTTATTAACTCAACTCCCTCATTTTATTTAGGTATTTTTGTTACCAAGCTCCAATCTCTGCAACTTTTTTATACTAATTTTTGTCACATTCTCTTTTTTTTTTATTTTTAAATTTCAATAAACCTCTTCAAGGCCATGAAGACCACTAGAGTTGAGGAGGCTACTTTTAGTTGTGGTTACAACCCTCTCACAACTCTATAACTACGAAACACTAACTTTGTTGAAAAAAGCAGCTGTGCGGAGAAATAAGTTGAGCATGGTACTACACAAATGTGGTGGGAATCGAACTCAGAACCTCTTGCTTATGAGGCCAGTTCTCTACCACTAGAACACTACCACATATCATTTAATTTAAGCATAATAAACTTTGGACAAACTATGACAAATTTTAAATAATATGACTTAAATTGCATTAATTGCTTTTAAAAAAGGCTTGACAACCCCCTTAATTTTTTTCTTCTCTCTATTTAATTGATATAAAGTGGTATATAATTAACATTTTTTATTATACAGTGGAGAAAATAGAATTAGCCTCACAATGTACTGATCCAATACTTTGTAAATCTGTAAGCAAATTTGTGCGGTGCATCTTTTGTATCCACACACATATAATTGGTGTTACAAACAACAACTTTTTAGATTATAATATAGTATAACTAAATTGCAGTAGATTTGATAAAACCATAAAATGTATAATACTTGATACTTGCAGTAACAAATAGAATTAGCCTCATCAAAAACTATTTTCAGTTTACTTGTATATTTTGATCTGGTGATACGTATTTGCAACTTTTTTTATTATTATTTGTAAGTTAAACAGTTTAAATTTTTTACATTTGGTTTTTGATACCTTTATTTGAAATGGGACGTGGTAAGCAATTAACAAATGAAGATTTAGCAGTAATCAAAGCATACAAAAAAAACAACAGGTATATCTAATCGGGAAGTTGCAAAGAAAATTAAAAGATCTCCAAAAGTTCTTAATAATACTTCAAGATTGCCATTAGTTATAGAGCTTATAAAGGAAGTGATGGCAAACGTAAAATTGATAATTGTACTAAACAAGTTATTGTACATCGCGCTGCTGTTCAGCATATGACTGCATCTCAAATTCATGCTGATATACAATTACCTGTAACTGTTCAATGTGTGCGACAAGTCATACATGAAGATCCACAATTGGGAAAAAGCGTAAACCATAACCAAAACTTACTGTTCATCATAAAGAAGTTGGATTACAATTTGCAAGAGACCTCATGTCTTGGCAGAAAGAGTGGTATTTATTTTAGTGATAAAAAAAGTTCAATCCTAATGGTAATAGTCCTAATGGCTTCTCAATATTACTGGCACAATCTTTAAAAAAAAAAATGGCTATCAATATTACTGGCACAATCTTCTCAAAAAAAAAAATGGCTATCAATATTACTGGCACAATCTTCTTAAAAAAAAAATGGCTATCAATATTACTGGCACAATCTTCTTAAAAAAAAAAAGGCTATCAATATTACTGGCACAATCTTCTTAAAAAAAAAAATGTATGAGTCGTAACTTTGGTGGTGGAATTGTTATGGTTTAAGGGATTTTTTCGATTGCTGGAAAACTTCCACTGGCATCGATTTAAACAAAGATGAATTTACAGGACTAGATTGAACTATTAGAAACCAGTTTGCTTGAACATGGTGAAGAATTGAAGGGTGAAATTTTCTCTTTTTAACAAAATAATGCTGCTATCCATAATTCAAAGCTTACAAAAGCTTGGTTTAGAAAAAAAAAATTTCACATAATGAAATGGGCTTCATGCAGTTCAGATCTTAACCTAATTGAAAATCTAAGGGAAATACTGTGTAGAAAGGTTTTTGAAAATGGTATACAATATAAATTCTCATTGGAGCTGAAAATATGTATCAGAGAAGCTTGGAATGAAATATCTATAGAAACTATCCAAAATCTTGTGACTAATATGTCAAGTCACATATTTGAAGTCATTAAAAAATTCAATTTAAGTATTAAATGAGCGTAAAAACAAAATATTTTCTGTATTTTCTTGTATATAACGTAAATGAGGTTAATTCTGTTTTTTCTACAAAATGAATACTTTTAATTTTTTTTTCCATTTGTAATTAATTAAACATACTAATTTATAAACTTTTTAATTGTAGTAAAAGATAATAAGAAATAAAGTATATTTAACATTTGTTTCACTGCCATTTTTTGTGAAACTAAAACAAAAAATAAAGATGACTAATTCCATTTTCTTTGCTGTATATGACAGTATATTGAGAATATTTTATGTGTTTTGTTTTAAAGTTCACTTTGTAAAGATGTCTACTATATTTTCTCCACCTTCAAAATTGCATATTCTTTTTTTAGTTAATATCAGATAATAAATTTGGTATCAAAATGTTTCATTTAATAATCTTTATATAATAGAATTAATTTGATTTAAAAAATAAAAGTTTAAATTTTTTATGAAGGTAACTAGTCATAAAGATAGTTTTGAAAATGAAATTATAAAAAATTTAAACATCATAACTTCATTTTTAAGCAATTAGACATTTATTTAGGCATAATATATTAGACAACATTTTAGCATATAAATACGCAAAATATACTGCCAATTCCTACACTACATGTGAAATAATATTTTCAATTAAAATTTAATTAAAAAGTATTGAAAAAAAATAAAAATATCATATTAAATGTAGTAATGAAAGTAATGAAAAAAAATTGAAATATCATATTGAATGGAAAAAAATGAAATAGAAATAAATAAAAACCTAACAAAATAGAAATAAGTAATAAAAGTCTTTTTTTCTAACTCTGATATAACCCTAAAATAAATATATAACCCTTGGAATTAGAAAAAAAGAATTCAGCAGTTTTTGCTGACCATAAACTATTTGAGGTAGGGACAAGATTAGCAAAAAAAAATTAGCACAAATTTTTTACCATAAAACTTTTGCATGAGCCATCTGTTCAATCATTTAAAACATTATTTATTAAATACAAAATTTTGTTTAGTATTTGTTACAAGCATATGTTTGTAATGATAATGTTACAAAAATATACACATAAAAATTTGCTCCATGATAAAATTCTTTAGATAAGAGTTGTCTTTGGGTTTTCATATTGGCTATCTATTGCTTTAGTAACAAAATTACTTATTTAATAAAAAATTTTACAGGAGCTTTAAAAGTTTTTACTTTTTATGAAAAATGTTTTTTATTTTCTTATTGGAATTATTACAACAATTAAAAATTCTACTGTAAAAAGTATAGGAATATTAAGGTAATTAATACATAAAATATATAATGAATTACACAAAATAATAATTATTATGCAATAATTTAGAGTATGATAATTTGATTTTTTATCAGTCAAATAATTTTATATTTTATTAATATAATTTAGAGTGTAATAGTTTTATGTTTATTTGTTTGTTCAATCTAATCTAGATCTTTGGAGAGTCTTAAACGATGGCAGGCGTGTTTTTATAATGGAAAGATAAAGAAAATAAAAAAAAAAAAAAAAATTTAAACAAAAATTTTAATAACTAAACAACAAATCTAATCAATAAATAAAGGAAGAAATTTTAAAAAGAAAGAAATTAAAATTAATGAAAAAAGAAATAATAATAATTAAGTGCATATAAATTAAAAAAAAAAAGTCGAAAAAAAATCCAAATAAAAAGGAGGAAAGAGTTTACGTCATATAAACTTTAAAAAGAATAGACAAAAAAAAAATTCGAATTTTTATTCACCTAAATTTAACTAAAAGAAAAGACAAAAATTAAAAAAGAAAAGAAAAACAGAAGAAACCAACAAAAAAGCGAAAGAAAAGAAAGAAAAGATCAAGTTTTAAAAGATATTTCTGTAGCTAGTCTTTGTTGTAATTATCATTTTATTTTAATTTTATTTTAATTTTATTTTAATTATGAAAAATAATTAATATTACCATTTATTATTTTTATTAAATATTATATTTGTTAAATATTATCATTTTGTGTATGCATTTCGTTTTCTAGTTTTTGTGTTTCTCTTTTCGTTTGCGTAAAGTTGAGCTAATAATTTTTGTTGTTGATTCCTGTTTTTCTATTTACCAAATGTATAATGATGTAATAATTAGTTGATAGTAAAATTTTATAAAATTATTATCTAATCAATTTATGTTCAACTTTATGTTACTTAAAAATTTGTTTTATTTTTGTTTACCGTGAATCGTAAAAATCGCGCCAATATAAAAATATTTATATAGCGCCAAATTCTACAGCTGATTTGTTAAAAAAACCGAAACATAAAAAAATCAACATAAAGATTCATGTAAAAAAAATAAGGCCCTGGTATAAATTGTTCATACTTGAATTTTTTTTGAAAAAAAATTTAAATATTATTCAGCAGGTTTAGGTTAAAAATCATATCATGTATGTATGTATGTATTTCGTTTTGTAGTTTTTGTGTTTCTCTTTTCGTTTGCGTAAAGTTTGTTATTATTTGTGCTAATTATTTTTATTGTTGTTTCCTGTTTTTCTATTTACCAAATTTTCTACACCTTTTTTTTTCCTTTTTCTTTATTTCGCAAAAATAAATAAAGTTTGTCTTTATTTTTTAATTTTTTTTGTATTAAATTTTTTTTTTTGCAGAAGTGTATGTGTTTGCCTTTTCATTTTGTTGTTTTTGTGTTTCATCTTGCTGTTTTTGTGTTTTGCTTTTTCGTTTGTGTAAGGTTTGTTTTTTTATTTGTTCTGTTTTGCTTATTATTTTTATTTTTGTTTCAGTTGTTATTGAGTGTTTTAATATTTTTTGTCTTATTATTTAACTTATCGTTGTTTATCGTATCACTTTATTGTTATTATTATAATTTTATTTATTTTCTTAGCGATTTTTGGTTCATATTTATTGTTTTTATAATTATTTTATTATTATACTAATTATTATAATTAATTAGTGTCACTCATTTTGATTATGAATGACACTCATGTCATCATATTATTTGTATTATTACAGATAATATTATTATTTTTAATTATTATTGTTATAATTATTTGGTGTCACTCCTTTGATCAGGCTTCTGTATGAGTAACACCTTCCTTTTCAAATAATTATTTATATTTATTCTTATTAGTTGTATTCTATTATAATTATATTATTTGTATCATTATAGATTATATTATTATTTTTTAATTATTGTTATAATCATTTGGTGTACCTCCTTTGATCAGGCTTCTGTTTGAGTGACACCTTCCTTTTCAAATAATTATTTATATTTATTCTTATTAGTTATATTTTATTATAACTATATTAATTGTATCATGATAGATAATATTTTATTATTATTATTATTATTATTATTATTATTATTATTATTATTATTATTATTATTATTATTATTATTATTATTATTATTATTATTATTATTATATGATTATATGTAAATTTTGAAAAAAGAAAATAAATTAAAAAAAAAAAAAAATCAAAAACATTTGCATTTGCTTATATTGACGCACAAAAAGTGCATCAATATATATATCTTTGATTAGATTCAAAAAAATATACTTTTTCCAAGAGCCATAAATTGCTCCCGTAAACCGTTATATATATATATATATATATAAATATATATATATATATATATATATATATATATATATATATATATATATATATATATATATATATATATATATATATATATATATATATATACATATATATATATATACATATATATATACATATATATATATACATACATATATATATATACATACATATATATATATATATATATATATATATATATATATATATATATATATATATATATATATATATATATATATATATACACATACATATATATATATACAGTGCATGTCATGTGAGGAATAAAATCGCCCAGCATGATTTTATTCCTAACTTTTATTTCATCCGTAAATTTGAAACACATTATAATCAAGTGTGGTTATGTGCGTTTGACATCAAGTCTTTGAGAGCGATATTCAGAGTTGGATATTAGTTACCATGGGGCTATCCATAAATAATGTACACAGGTATGGGAAGGAGGTCACTCAAAAGAGTACCAGTGTGTACAAGGAAAAATAGGATGATTTTTTGTTTGAATTTTTTTCATGTGAAGTCCAGGAAATCAGACAAAAAAGCTATAGTTTATTTGTAAATGCATTTATTTATCTACAGGAAAAAATAAATTCCTTCACCTTTGATATTAAACAAAAAAAAAAAAAAAAAATATTGCCATTTAATAAAAAATGACAACATAACTTTAAAAAATGACAATATAACTTTCAAAAACGACAACATAACTTTAAAAAACGACAACATAACTTTCAAAAATGACAACATAACTTTTAAAAATGACAACATAACTTTCAAAAATGACAACATACCTTTTAAAAATGACAACTTTGTTTCTTTTTGGAGTTGAATTAACATGCTTAATAGTGGACATTCTAAACAACAGTTTAGAATGTCAGCTATTAACATGATAAAGAGATGCAACCTTAGCAGATGCTAATTTTGCAAAGATTTGATATATTTAGCAAACCCTTTTTCGAAATAACTATTAAATAATTGTTTAAAATAATTAAAGGGCAATAAAACTGAAGTTGTCTTCTTCTTGTTCAAGCCGAATATTTATATTTTATGATAAATAAATTTAATTATCATCAGTGAACAGTCGATTAAGTTACTAAATATACTAGAGCAATTTTCCCTAGCAAATATACTTCATAAAAACTAAGTATTCTGTAAAATATATTTACCTGTGATATATAATTAGATATAAGTTTTGTAGTATATCTTAAAATGTTGACATTTTTTAAATGTTGTAACTTTTTAATTTAGGAATAGAATCATTGCTCTGTATACTCAGTATATTAAAGTTTTAAAAATGAAAACCCTAGAGATGAGCAAAGAAACCAACATACTAAAGGGTTCTTAGACAAAGCTAATGTTCTGTTTCCTATACACAAGGAAGACATTTTCAAGTTAATTAGCCAGGATCCAAGAAGAAGTAAGGAGACTGTCAAAACATCCTACAAAAATGACAAAACATTTGCTGAATTAGTTGCTGAAGGTGAGGAAAGATTGAAAAACCTGCTGAGGAAGATGGTAGAAGAAGAGCAAAAGGAGGAGAGACTGAAAGCAATTGTTGAGCAAAAAAAAAAAAGTCAATTACTTGAAAAAGCAGTAGAAGAAGAAGCTTTGAGAAATATTGAGCAGGAATTCTCCAGTGGAACAGATTATGATTCAGACTTTGAAACTCCGACTGTAAAGAAAAAACAGTTGTATGATTAAACAATATTTTCCTTCAACTCAATCTGAATGATGTTTTGGATAAGTGGATTCCATTTATGACAAGGTAAATAAGTTAATATGTATAAAAAGTTATGTATATTACAAGTATATATAAAACTTCAAGTTAAAACAACTTTAATATTGCATAATATAAAAAATGATAATGCTTTATTTTTTTTTTAGGTATCAAGTTAGTGTGAGAGCTAAAACAGCAATGTTGTCTTCTCTATTCTAAACTGGGGGAGTAGATATTGACATGTTGAACATTTCTAAGTCACATATGGCAAAAAAAAACCATGAAATTATAGAGAATAAAACACTTATAGTAAATTTATTTTAAATTTTTACATATATGAATATTTTTTGTGATGAATTTATTGTAGATTACTTCAATTATACTATGAATTTTATTTGATGAACAGTAAAGTTATTATTTGAAAAGTCTAACAAATAGAGTTAACTCATTTGACACACCTAGCTGCCATGTTACAAGTCAATTTTGCTCTATAACATACGATTATTATTTTAAACAAATATTGATATAACTTTCCTGTTTTTATTTTGCTGTATTTTCTACAGTTGATACAATAGAAATTTAATTACCTGAGAATGTGGCCCTAGTAACTATTCATAAAAATTAAAGGTAAAAATTAAATTTAAAAACATTATAAACAACTGACCATTACAGCTGTTGTTTTCCAATATCCACCCAGATTTGCAAGTACAATTGTAACTTCCATTAGTGTTCTCACAATCACTGTTAGTCAAGTTGCAATATTTTTCTAATTCATTGCATTCATTGACATCTGAAAACATTTATAAAGTAAAATTCAAAAAACTTTCTTTTGAGAATAACATTCAAGACAACATATATATATATATGGGTAGAACAAAAAAAGTAACAGCCTGATGTGATACTAGTGACTATCCATAAAAAAAAAGGGGAAAAGAAATTATAAAAACAATACAAACAACTGACCAACACAACTGTTGTTTTCCAATATCCACCCAGACTTGCAAGTACAATTGTAACTTCCATTAGTGTTCTCACAATCACTGTTTGTCAAGTTGCAATATTTTTCCAACTCATTGCATTCATTGACATCTGAAAACATTTATAAAGTAAAACTCAAAAAAACTTATTTTTGAGAAAGTCATTTAAGACAACATATTTATGGGTAAAACAAAAAATTATATTAAAATTATTTATATTTATTTTATTTTTATTTATATTTAATTTTAATTATAATTTATTTATATTTAATATATATAATTATTTATATTTAATTTTAATTTAATTAATTATATATTAAAATGTTATTTATAATTATATTGGATTATTATATCATGTCTTATTTTATTTTTGTAAAAAACTTTCATTTCAGTTGGTCATTTTGTCACTTGTAAAGTGTAACTTTTTAGTACTTGTACTTTAAGTGTGCTTTTGTACATTTTTATATATTAACATAAATAGTTTCCAAACTTTATAAACGAAAAGGTAGGCATTATTTGTACACGCGTACAATTAAGAAAAAAAGTTATTTGTATCCACGTACAAATAATTTTTTCTTAGTATGCGCAGACAAATAACTTTTTCTCAGTTGTATGCGCGTATTTAAGTTATTTTTAATTATTTTGAGGATTTTACATAAAAGTTTATTTTAACTTAATTTGACATTATATATTTTTTATACAAATTAAATTAATTTATACTTAATTTAAATAAATATTAAAATACTTCTCTTTTATTTTAAAGAAAACCTTAACCCTCAGTAGATATATGTACACTTATCCCTATCCCTATTTAAGTCAGTCGATGCATGTTCACGCTACTGCGCCTATGCCTATTTAAGTCTGTTGATGTATTTACACTCTACAGTGCCTATTCCTATTTAAGTCAGCATACTCCACTGTGACTACATCTAAATCAGTCAATTTATGCATGCATTGATGCACTTATTCTATGAAGCCTTGAAAGATAAAAATAAACAATAAATATAACTATAAATAAACAACAACAATAGTTAAAAAACATAAAATTATTAATTACAAATAAAACACTTAAATTAAAAATAAAATCTCCCAAATAAAGGATTCGAACCTCAACCTTGACACTCCTGCCTTAAAAGAAAAAGAATTTCACAGCCACTGCGCAACATCAATATATAGAATACGCAAAAAATTAAAATATATAAAAATTTTTTGCGTACAAATAAAACTTCTATTATGTAAAACTTATTTGTACGCGCATACAAATAATGACTTTGAAACAAAAATTACATTTTATCTTTAGTGTTGGTTTGTGCAAACATATACCAAAACCAATGAAATATGCATGCTGATTTTTGTATATTATTTTTTGCTAGATTAAGGATGTAGTACAGGTAGAGTGTTACTTGAATTACTTTTTATATATTAAAAACAGGGCTCTCTCAATACTCTAACCCCTCTAGAAACTTAAGTAGTACACAAATTTGGATACTAGAGTCGGTAAAATTGAATCTGTAGCCAGTAGTCGGCAAATGTTAATCAGAGAAGACTTTTTTCTAAAGAACTTGTGGCCAAAAAATTTTTCTCTGCCTTACTCACCTCTAGGTCTTTTTATTTTAGAAACTTAGAAGTAAAACTTTTGTATTTTATAAAAAGGTTACAAATTGGTTATGTATACATAATTATACTAACTCTAAGTAGTGTTAGAATGTGGTAAAATTGTTTTGTCTTGATTGGTTACTTTATAACAAAAAATATATATATACATTTTAAGAATTTTAAGTTTTTATAAAGCCACAAGCAAAATATATTATGTATAAATGTATTTTATGAAATACTTTTTGTATTTTTATTCAAAATAGTTCTGATATTTTTTTTTTTAAATATATTTGATTATTTATGGGTTTTTTTAGTTTTGCTCTAATATATTTTAGCTGTCTATGTATTTTTATTTCTGAACAATTTATATATATTTATATATATATATATATATATATATATATATATATATATATATATATATATATATATATATATATATATATATATATATATATATATATATATATATATATATATATATATATATATATATATATATATATATATATATATATATATATATCAGGCTTTCCCAGGAAAGGTGTGCGGTCGCACGCCTTGTTTGTCCACCCATAGAATAAATTTTTCTGACTAATTGACCACGTTTTATTATTATGCCTTTCAAGAATTGACGCCAAAGCAAAGCTAAACGCAAATACCACAAAAATGCAAGCAATCTTAAAGTAAATAAAAGAAATCTGTTTGTGCTTTCAAATTTAAAAATTAATGTATATTATTAAATAAAAGATTAACCTATACTTTTTTTTTTTTTTTTTTGTGTGTTTTTAGGGCGGTAGTTATTTTAGCCATGAAAAATCAAATCAATAAAAAAAATAAAATCAATAAGAAAAATCAAATCAAAAAGAAAAAGATTATGTTTAATGAAAATGACTTTATGACATAATGTTTATGACTTTTATCAGTCAGTAATACTTTAAAATTCACGATAGAACTTTAATTAATTTTTAAATGTTTCGTAAATAAATTTAAATGTTTAAATGTATTGATACGCAAGAAAGCGTGAAAACCATTGCTATTTATTTGTAAAATATGTTTTTTTTTCAATTTTAAAATGAAAGTAAATTTTATTGTCAAACGATTGGGTTGCTTATTTTGCAATCATTAACTGACATTGTGAACAAGTGTTAATATATAATAATGTCCCGAAAGGAACTGTTTTTTACGTAACAATGACAACAGAAGCAATGCAATTATTTTTTTAACTTCTTTCGTAATTACAAAATTATGTAATTGAATAATTTCAACATAATAAATTGAATATTGAAGCAATAAAAGTCTAGAGATTTTTTATCGCCTTTGCATAAACCTTCGTAAAAACTAAATTAAATGAAAAAATTTAATCATATTTGTCTAGCGTAAATAATGAATCAGTTTTTTAATACATTGTCTGATAAATTTTTTTTCTTTTTTAAATTTTTTTTTATTATCAAATATTTTTCTTACATCCAATTTCAATTTTATACTTTGTTTAGACTTCGTTTCCTTTTTTTAATATTATTTTTTATTCTCTGTGGATAAGTTCCGCTTTCTCATGAAATATTGCCGCGGTCACATTTTCTGAAAAATTTATTCTATGCGTGGACAAACAAGGCATGCGACCACACGCCTTTCCTGGGAAAGCCTGATATATATATATATATATATATATATATATATATATACATATATATATATATATATATATATATATATATATATATATATATATATATATATATATATATATATATATATATATATATATATATACATATATATATATATATATATATATATATAAATATATATATATATATATATATATATATATATATATATATATATATATATATATATATATATATATATATATATATATATATATATATATATATATATAACCCTTGGAATCAGGGTCGGCATTCTGCATTAAGGTAGCAGCATATGAACAATTTATATATATATATATATATATATATATATATATATATATATATATATATATATATATATATATATATATATATAGTATATATATATATATATATGTATATATATATATATATATATATATATATATATATATATATATATATATATATATATATATATATATATATATATATATATAGAGAGAGAGAGAGAGAGATAGATAGATAGATAGATAGATTATATATTTAATTGAATATAGTATATTTAAATTAAAAAAAAATGTTTATTTATATATTTATAAAATGTTTATATATTTATTTATAAAATACCACACATTTGCGCACATTATATTATTACATAAAATTGTTACATCGTAGTTATGAAAAAATAACAAACATTTTCTACTAAACCATAATGTACGTTGCTACATTTCATTACATAACATTTTTATAGGGAATTAGAAATGGTAATTAAAAATTTTACAAAAAGGTTATTAATTCATTTCTTAATAAAAAAATAAAAAATGTTTAGAGGTAAAACTAAAGTAAATAAATGAGTTATCTTAAAATTAACTTAAGCTACATTATTTGTTGATTAAAAGCAATATAAGTAATATTGGTGATCGAGTAACTTATATACTTTAAGTTACAAAACAAAAGAAAAATTCCATTCATTCTAAGTTTATACAAATAATTAGTCGCTCCCATATCTAGAGATTTTTTATAAAAACGTATAAAAGTCATTGAACCAAAATTTTTTTGAAGTTCTTTATCATAGAGTAGAAGCAAATTTTAAATAAACTCTTTATTGTATGAATAATATAAACATTTTTAAAAAAAGTGCTAAAACTTTGAGATAAATATCTCTATTCAAAACCCTAAATTAAAAAAACATAAGACTTAATATCAACATACATATATTATTAAAAACATTTCAGTATCATAATGAAACATTTTTTACATTATTGTGTATTTTTTAACTTAAGTTATATGAAATTTGCAAAAAATTCTTTTGTGATTTTTCAGAAATTTTCGTCATAAAAAAATTATGGTTTTCCAAACATAAACTCAATATTTTTTGGCCATATACCCAATTTATTTAGAGTCATGACACAATGCAAATCATTAAATTTTTTTTTGCATGCTTAGTTTCTCTACCTCCTTTATGTTTAATGATACGCACCACTGTACCATCTTTAACATTGAAAAGAGGTTGATTTAAGCAAACGCAATTTGTGATATCTGGAAAAATAGTTGTCAAAATCTTGTTTTTATAGAGCAAATTATCTAAAATTGGTAAATAAATTATAGTTAAATTGGTAAATAAGTTATAGTTAAATTGGTAAACAAGTTATAGTTAAATTAGTAAATAAGTTAAATTGGCAAATAAGTTATAAAATAAAACATTAAACTTACAACTACAAAAGTAATGACACTCTAACTGCATTATAAAAGTAATAACACTATAGTAGTGTTTTTACTTTTATAACACACTTATAACTTTTATAATTCATTCATTGTTCAAACAACATAAGTAATCCCAAATTGAAAGTTACAAAAGCAAAACTATATAAGTTTAAAA